CTGCAAGTCAGTGCGCAAGCGCAAGGAAGTTGAGCATGTGCATGTAGCCCTTGTGAAGCCCCTTCATGTGCCTTCTACTTTTGCTGCATTTTCTACCTCGGAAATACTTATACTTCTACTACCACTACTTCTACTGTAAGAAATAAGTCTACTTCTGATCCAACTACTTCGAATTCGATTGTTATTGCTGTAAATTCGCAATCTGAATTCCTATCTCCTGATGATGATGATCCTCCATTGGAAGTCCCAACAAACATTCGCCGTCTATTAGATTGATTTCCTGAAAGTTTTGGCTGAGCCTCGTGGAGTCCCCGAGCATCCGGTTAAACACAAGAGCGAGATAATAGAAGGGAGTGTTCCTCCAAAGGGTTGCGTCTATCGTATGGGGCAAGGCGAGTTGGAGGAGTTGAGGAGACAAATTGACGATATGATTGAGCGTGGATGGATTAGGCCTAGTGAGTCTGAGTTCGGTGCACCTGTCATGTTTGTGCCGAAAGGAGGCAAACTTCGAATGTGTATTGACTATCGTGGCCTAAATCGGACCACCAGAAAGAATGCTTATCCTTTGCCTCACATAGATGATCTGCTAGATGCGGCAGGTAGGTGCAAGGTGTTCTCCAAGATCGACCTCAAGTCGGGCTACCACCAGATTGAAGTTGATTCAAGCGACCAGCACAAAACTGCATTCAAAACACGCGATGGGCTATACAATTCATCGTTATTCCCTTCGGTCTTACGAATGCACCAGCCACGTTTTAGTATCTCATGAATAAGGTTGTCCGCCATCAGCTCAACAGGTTTGTTGTCGTTTACCTTGACGACATCCTGATTTTCAACAAGTCTATGGGAAAGCACGTCAAGCACCTTGACGAGGTTTTGCAGGTCCTCCAGGAGGCACAACTGCACCTCAACTTAGAGAAATCTGAGTTTGGAAGGGACAACGTCATCTATCTTGGGCACCGGTTGTCTGCAAACGGCCTTGAGTCGGAGGCAACCAAGGTTGAGGTCATACGAAAGTGGCCTCAACCGGCGAACGTACGCGAAGTGCGTTCTTTTCTTGGTTTGGCTTCGTATTACCGGGAGTTTGTGCCCAAATTTTATGTTATTCCTCACCCACTCTCGATACTAACAAGCAAAAATGTTGCCTATGCATGGTGTGAGAAATGCGAGATTGCGTTTCAAAACTTGAAAGAGGTTTTGGTAAGTCATCATGTGCTCTGCATTGTGGATCCCAACCTCACGTTCGTAGTCACTATGGACGCGAGACAACATGGGATTGGTGCAATGCTGCAACAAAATGATGGCGATGGTCTGCGCCCACTCGAGTATTACAGCAAACGCATGCCCAGCCACAAGGTAGTTACCTCCACATATATGCGTGAGCTCTATGCGTTGCGAGAGGCGCGCACACATTGGAAGCACTACCTCTTGGGTCGCCACTTCAAGATCTACTCCGATCGTCAGACCTTGTAGTGGATCAAGATGCAAACTAATCTCTCCCCGACATTGACTCGTTGGCTGCATGACATTGATGTCTATAATTTTGAACTGAAACACAAGAAGGGTTGTTATTATCGTGTTGCTGATGCTTTGTCGCGCCATCCTGAGTTTTTGACTTGCCTTGTGAGCTCATATGACCTCCGGAAGAAACTGGAGGAGGATCTGGTTGAATAGACTACCAATCCCATCCTTGAGCAGCTCAAGGCTGACCCTAGCAGTGAGCCTGATTTTCACGAGTGCGAGGGTCTTGTATTCCGCCGGTGTGGGAAGTTTGATCGTTTGTGTACCCAACCATGCGCCTCTCCGGACTCATTTCTTGGATTTGGCACATGGTCGAAGTGGTCACTTCGGCTTTGAGAAGACTTACAGAAGTCTTCTGCAGCAGTTTGATTAACCAAGAATGAAGGGATCTGCTCATAAATTTATTGCTGAATGTTAAGTCTGTCAAAGAATCAAGGTCCATAGGCATAAGCCTTATAGCCTGTTGAAACCCCTTCCCATTCCTGATCAACCCGGTGAGTCGGTCTCTATCGATTTCATAGACATGAGGAAGGTGAGCGAGGGAGGACATTCACAAGTCATGGTCATCGTGGATCGTTTTTCCAAATTTCTGAATTTGATTCCTCTACCTCCTCATGCACCAATTGAGCTTATGATCGAAGAATTTCACCAGCTGTACATTTTGCAGTATGGACCCCCGAAAACTCTCCTGAGTGATCGGGACACCAGGTTCATTAGTCAAGATTGGAAGGACTTCACCTCTCAAATCTACGACATTAAACTCAACATGACTTCTAGTCGACACCTCGAAGCCAATTGGTTGGCCGAGGAAATCAACCAAACTGTCATTCATCTACTTGGTGCGTTAATTGTTCCCGATCAGAACACGTGGGATAAGGAGCTACACAAAGTAAAGGGGTTGTATAACATCTCCATTCACTCTGCAACTGGCGTGACACCAAATCAGTTGCACTATGGTTGGTAGATGCGCAATCAGCTTTCCTATATGTTCCCCGATCGGTCACCTGGTCTGACGCCTGGCATGCTTGGTTACAATTCCAAGTATGCACGCTTGCTCAAAGCTGCTATCGCAGTGATGAACAAGTATCAACATGCCATGATCAAACATGCTAACAAGTCGCGCAAAGAAGGGAACTTCGAAGTAGGAAGTTATGTCTTGGTCAAAATGTCCAAGTTTTCTGATGAAGAGGGTGTATCACGAAAGCTTCTTTCACTATACTATGGCCCTTGGCAAGTTCTAAACGTGGTAGGGGATGATTTTGGTCCTTCATATGTGATCGACGTGCCTCCTCACCTGCGGACGTATCCGGTCTTTCAAGCGTCCAAATTGTTTCCACACACAATTGATGAGACTTTTCCCTTCCGAGATCCTATGACACCTCGTCCTATTAACGCTGGCCTCGAAATAGACAAAATTGTTTCCCATGAAGGAAGAGGGAGGAACATACAGTACAAAGTTCACTTCCTTTATCACCCGTTGAACGAGTTATACTGGATCGACCAAAAAGAGCTGCTAAAAAATGCTCCCCGTGTGGTTAACTCTTATGAACGACGGATCGCCGACGGACGGACTGCTAAGTTTTCTGTAGCACTCACTCCTCACAGTTATACTAAAACTCTCTTTCTGATTTACGCCTACGACGCATTTTGTGCCGACTCTGAATGAGTTACTTGCTCGAAGGGACCTCGCTCTTGAGAGGGGGGTAGCGTAATGACCCGCCAGAACACAGACTGAGAACACCGCTGATTTATGGGATTTGTAGAGACCCAGTAGCGGTAGGTTAGAGGTAGGCAGGTACCAGTCCAAGTAGCCTGAGTCTAGGGCCTGTCGGGACGATAGCAGAGCCTGCAATGATGTTTCCCTCCGAAAGGGAGGAGGTACCGGTTGTTGGGAGGCCGCTCGGCCCTAGGAACTCGCCGCACAGGAGGCCAGTAGGCCACTATATCTCCTGGAGGAGCAAGTAGCTCCTCCTCGTTTGCGGTATGCAAGGATTGGCAACATGGTGCTGGAGCCAAGCGCTGGACTTGGGAAGCACTGCTGGAGGTGACGAGCAGCTGGGCGTCCAGCCTGGCTATGGCGAGCAGCCCAGCCTGAGGAGGAGGAGGAAGGGGGCGAAGGAAGAGAGTGGCGAGGTACCTACCTGGGTATGGTGGACACCATCTTCATCACCTTGTTGGGTGCTGCATCTGGAAGGCCCCAGTTGGGGTAGTGCCGCACCAAGGAAGCTCGAGGCAGAGTCAGGCATGGCGGCTTAGTGAGCAGCGGCATAGCTGCTTTGGGTTGTCATTTGGACAGGAGTGCAGCGACATAACTGCTTTGTGTTGTCCTTTGCACAGGAGGGCAGAGCCCTCAGTAGCCCGCCATAGCCTAGGCATGTGAGAGGAGGAAGAAGGGGGAAGAGCCATAGCTATGGTGGACCTATAGTTGTGTCAGCAGCAAGGGGGGAACTTCGGATATTGATTCTGGTTCATCCACTCATTGTTATTATTATTATTGGAAGAAGAATAAGATTGGCGAAGTGAAGGAGGAGGAGGAAGGTGGAGAGAAAGGGTAATTGGTCATTGGTCTTGCTGGTGTACATCTTCTTCTTCTTCTCCTTCTTCTTCTTCTCTCTCTCTCTCTTCTTTGGTCTCTATCTTTTTGGAAGTGCTTTTATTTCTTTCGCAATTGGGTGGCATTGTCTTTCATTGTGAATTTGCACTTTGGGAATGACCAGGATCGTAGCAGTACGGTCATTATAGCTGTAATATTTAGCCCAAATTCAGCTACAATCACAGTGCGTTGTATTTGGGGGAAGACTCCAGTTGGCTAAGCCTTCTTCAGGCTTCAAGCAGTGTGTCTGTTTCTCCTTTCTTGAGTCTTTCTTTCTGCAGCCAAAGGAATTATATATGACCAAATTTGTAACTGTCATGACTTTTTGATGCATGCGGAAGCTATTATATTATTATTGTTTTTTATTAATTGTTAAACAGATGCTTCAGCTTCTGATTCTGCCAATGGGCACGAGGATTGATATCGTAACTGGAATGTGCTGGTGCAAAAACTTCTGGCGATCCAGCAGAGAATCTAAGGGCATGGACGGTGCTGAAACGGTGGCTGCAAAATCTTCGAGCTCCATTCTCGCGCCTGACATGATGGCCAACAACCCAAACACCGGGAGGGAAAGTAACTGTTGCCAATGGAGTGGGGAAGGTCCACAAGTAGTTGCCTATGTTCCGAAGTGGCGGAGAAGAAGACGATTGAGCACAGAAGAAGGCATGACGTGGCCGTGCATTGACATGCACCACGACAAGCCATGGTTGCTACTTGTAAATAATAAAAAAATCCTTGAAATTTGGGACTATGAACTCGACAGATGTTTCGCCAGAGAAACGGCCAAGCGGAAGTACGGGGGGCAATATACGTTCGGAAGATTTTTCCCGAAGAAGGATTGGATTGTGCTATTGGCAGGGGAATCGTTAATTCTGTATCGGTATGAGGTCGTGGGTTTGAAGTTCACGAAGGCATTGGTAGCCGTAGAAAAGTGTATCGGTCAAGTGGTGGACATAGCCGTCCATCCATTCCTGCCATATCTGCTGATGTGTTCTTGTTTGCCAGAAGATAATGTTGAGCTACGGAGTTTGGGAACCACACCATGCAAACCACTCCAAGGTGTATGTGGAGATAGAACAGTATTGAGTGGCCATGCGTTTGGAGCGAGGATGGTGGCATTTCATCCGCTCAAGCCGGACATATTTGCAAGTCTGTCTAACGGAGGGGAGATCAAGGTGTGGAATATAGGGGCAAATACACCAACCAAAACGATTGCGGGGCATCAGCATATTCAAAATTTCCGATTCTGCAACGATATCCGTACGTCCCATCTCATCGCAGGCGGATCTTGTGGCTACATACGGGTGTGGGACTACACGACAGGTGCTTGTGTGGCCGACTTGAAACATCATGATCGCTTGCACTTCATCTGTTCAGCCTTCTTTCATCAAAACGTGCCATGCATCTTTGCTGCAGACAGTAACGGGACCATTGGAGTTTGGAATGAGTTGAACTACACACCACTTCGGTTCTATTCTAGCGGAGTGCAGCACTTGACAAGCATGACTTCTTCCGCACGATGTGATGATGACCTTGCTCTTGTGGGCCAAGGAAGAATCCTCATGCTAGAGGTCACATTCATACAGAATGTGAGAGCACAACACGTGAGATGGGTTGATGGAACAACTGCAGAACATGAGAGAAAGCTTAAGATATTGACAGGTAAGCGCCAGTTTCTTTGCCAGTCAGCTCAAGAGGATTTGACGATGCCCGAGCGGAGGAAAACGGAGTTGGAGGGCACGTTAGGAAATGAGGGAAACAAGCGACAAGTGTCAGATAAATCTAAGGCGGAGCGTGAAGAAACCGGCGCGATGCAAAAAATCGTCGAGTTCGAAGCTACAACGGAAAGGGATGTGGATCTGCGGGAAACGTCGGATAGATCCAGCGCGGAGTTGGAACAGAAAGTGATACGTATGGCTGCGAGAATAAGCGGGCAAGAAGCAGAGAGGAGAGAACTGGCAGATAAGTTGATAATGTATGAGCAGAGGATCGGAGAGTTGGAAAAAGTGATTGCAAGGCTGATGTCAGATGAGTCCAGAGCAGAGCTTGAACAGGAAGGCAGAGTGAAAGACGAGAGGATTAGTGAGCTGGAAGCAGAGAGGAAAGCATTGGTTGAGGCGCTCAGCGTCTCCAAGCTGAAGAATGGAGAGCTGAAAGAGAGGTTGGACAAGGAGGTCGATATGCAAAGGAGATGTGAGAAGGACATAAAGGAGTTTGAAGAGGATGCTAGAGTGAAAGCAGAGAGGATCCATCTGTTGGAGGCTGAGAGAAGTGTGTTTGTAAAGACACTGGAAACGGCGAAACGGAAGATTAAGGAGATGTATGCAATGGATCGGCCATGTCATGAGCACTCCTTCAGCGACCGGCATGTCATTGATTGTCCGGCACCAGAAAACTTCAGTTCCGAGAGGCGTCTCAGGGAGGATGGTCATCGTGGTGGAGCATACGCGGGTGAACGGCATATTGCAGCAGCTTGTGTGGACACTCGAAGTGGCGAGGTTGATGGTGAAGCAAACGAAGTCCAGGCTACAAAAAGACACAGACGCACATAAGATGCTTACAAACTCACTTGGACAGGCAGAAAGCCATGCCTAGACAATGGATGCTTCTGATCGTTCATTTCACGGGTATTCGTTCACCGATCTATTCCATGCGACAGACAGCGGTTACCTCAGAGGAGAGAGGACGAAACTTAGGGAGGAGGATCAGACATTGTAACTCCTGTAATAGACTAAGTGAAGAAGCTTGCAGCCAAGGGAAGTGAGCGGAGTCACCACCATCATGCCCAGCTTAGGATGGAGGGATTGCACCGGCTGAGGGCAATTTGGCACCCCCTTTTAAGTTTGATAAAGTCCTTGGTCAGACTCTATGAGCACATGAGAAATCGGAGGAGCCTGTAAAGGGATGCCTTCCATGGTGTTTGTGCTTGCAGGTCACAGCAGAGACTCGAGGGTTGTTCTTCCTTCCAGTCCAATTCAATGGGAAACAGGTATTTCCAGTACTATCCGCTGTGATGCCAACCTGGCAATCATTATTATTATCATGCTTATTCTTCTTCTTCTTTTTATTATTATTATTATTATTATTATTATTATTATTATTATTCTCCTCCTCCTTCTTCTCCTCCTCCTCCTCCTCCTTCTCCTCCTTCTCCTCCTTCTCCTCCTCCTTCTCCTTCTCCTCCTCCTCCTCCTCCTCCTTCTCCTCCTCCTCCTCCTCCTCCTCCTCCTTCTNCTCCTCCTCCTTCTGCTTCTCCCCCTCCTCCTCCTCCTCCTCCTCCTTTTTCTTCTTCTTCTTCTTCTTCATCTTCTTCTTCTTCTTCTTTTTCTTCTTCTTCTTCTTTTGTTGTTGTGTTGTTGTTGTTGTTGTTGTTGTTGAATGGCATTGTCACACATCTGAGTTTTGGAACATGAATGCATCAAGCTACCGTCGACCTTGATTAGGCCAAGTCGAACTTGGGTGATGGCTCCAGAGAGTCAAAGTGGGGTGACAAGAAGTTATGTAGCTTTATCAACCCTAAATCCGTATTGGGAGTTGAAATTAAAGATCGGATTAGCGTGGGATTGAGGCGATTAGGGTGCCGAGATGAAGAGGGAAGCGATTGTGATGAGAGGAATGGAGTGGAAGGAGGTTTTGACATGTGGAAGGCCTCCAAGGAAAGAAGGGTTGACCTACAAGACTTCTTCTTCAGCAACGAACAAGGAGGAAGCCATAGCTGCGAGACTGATTCAACAAAAAGCCATCAAAATCCAAGTACGAACCGCAGTGTGGGATGCACTGATGACATGTACGAGTTTTGACTAAGATTCATATGGCATTGCTAGAGGCGTTCAAGGCAACTCAGACTCTAGGGTGATGACATTGGTGGTAGACAAGACAGATTACACGGAGGCGTGGTATGCGGCTCTCAAATGTCGGTCAGATGATCGGGTAGGTGCCTGCATCACAAATGAAAGCTAATGATGGATGGTTGTGTGACTGAATGTTGTTGATTTCTGTTCTTTCTGTGGGATGGGTGGTAGACAGGACAGATTAGACGGAGGCATGACATGTCACTCTCGGATGCATCACAAATGGATGCCCATGATGGATGGTTGTGTCATTGAATGTCATCGAGTCCTTTAACTCCTGGTTTTTTTTTTTTTTTTTTTTTTTTTTTTAATGAATAAAAGTGCAGGCTGTCTTCTCCTCATATCCGGGGACAGCTGCATTTACTGTGCTATTTTCTTCTCTCAATATTTTATTATTTTTCCATCTAACACTACCCACCTCGGGCTGTGTACTCAACCTGGTCTACCCACCTTCCGGACCTGCAAGGGGCACGGCAACCCAACCGGCAAGGAACCTAGATCTATGTTTCGAAGGAGAAAAGAGGGTAAGGATCCGAGGACTACACATTACCCACCTATGGGACCAGGGTTAAAGCTTAAATTCATTAGCCAAGGTTAAGCCATCCTAAGATTATGGGTCTACAGACTCTACACCTACCTATCTCTGCTCTGTGCAGGGAGCAGCACCCAACCTTGTAACACCCGGTGCAGGCTGGAAAGAATTCCACAACCAGCCCGGAGGCCCAGGCCAACAATCTCCGGTGGTCATTGAGTCCTGTTTTGTGTGTGATGTCGCTCTCAAATGTTGGTCGGCTGAACACGTCAGATGCTGCATCACAAACTTATGCCCATACTGGATGGTTGTGTGACTGAATGCTATTGAATCCTGTTCTGTCTGTGCAATCTTTTGTCGTTTGAGTTGGTTTGATTTTCCTTTGCAAGTCGCGAATCTCGTGATCTTTTTGAGCTAAGATCTTATAAATGAATGCACTTGACATAGTTTAGGCTAGGTCACACTTCCTAGGATGACAGTTCGGTCCTGTCTGGGCTCGATGTGGGCCAGAGGGGAGAGGTCGGTTAACAGAGGCCTCAATTTTCAGACAACTTCTCATGCCATTTATAACAAAACCCTAATATCAGTTTTTGACCCGTTATTCTGGAGCTGAAAGTGGGGGTCCCCATTAACCACTTGTGCCAGAGGAAGGATGTTATTTGCTTCCCGCCTCCGGCTTTCTCACCAGACTCTTCGAGACTTGGACGCAAATTGGCCACCGCTGGCTGGATAATCTATTCAGCACCCCACGCACGTGGGGTGGCAGCCGTTGATAGGCAAAGGGGGTTCACATGGATTGACAGGAGCTAGACGGCAACCAAGGACCCACGAAGGCTTATAATGGTTGACGTGGGCTGACTGGGAAGATTGATGTCCAAAGAAGGTGCGAGCAGTGCTTGTATGGTTCCGGGTCCTGATTTTCACTTCGATGAATGTTGTAGTAGTTGTACCATGCATGATCTCTATCCCTGAAGACCTGAACCTACTTACTCCAGTCACCTCTCATATTTCTCCACGCCCTGATGTGAATTATCCACTGCATCCAGCGGCCTAGCTCAGTTGGTAAAGCTCGCAAGTGGTATTCGGGAGGTCTTGTGTTCAATCCCCATTGGGATCATGTACCATCCTGGGGATGCTTCAAGTTGGCTCTTGCCACCCCGAGATAGACCACTAGATCCCCTGATCAGCATTGAGCAGAGTCTGCTGATGTTCGTAGGGGAGGGGACCTGAGGGGAGGCACAGGGATTGGTCCTGTTGGCATGGTCCCTCATGCTACCGGCTGTCTACTGGATCCCCCGATCGGCATTGAGAAGAGTCTGTGACGTACCAGCTTCCATACCCTAACGATCTTCTGAAGGCCTGAGTTTTTGCTGCTTCTATTTTTCGGATCTCTCTTGGGCTTTTGGGGTATCTCTCTTTTTGCTACCACCTCAGTGCATGGAATCGCAGGCCAACTAGGCCCTCTCACGTCTAAGACAATGTTTCTTTTTGGACTTCTTTGCAATTTCCTTTCAGCAATCCAGGCACCTACGTAGGAATTACGTGCGCCTTAGCGAGCGTGCGAGGAATTTTGTTCGGCAGTTGGGAAATCCGGAGATTATGGGCGCTCATCCTGCTGACGTGCCCTTTATTGCAAATGGATGATCCCGCACTCGCCCCAGATAGATCTGTGAATTTTCTGTAGGAAGCAGGATTTCGTGCGCTGATATTGCTTTTGAATTTTTCAATCTTGAATTAGTTTTAGAACTCAGATGAACAAAACGTAATTGTTTCGGTGCCTTTTTCGTTTTTGTACCCACGCCACGAATGCAAGCTTCCCCTCCTTCCCGCTATGACCCAGGCCATTTTCCCCCTTCTCCTCTTCGCGGCGTCCTTCCTTCCCCCGTAACTGTCTTCCATCCCCCCTCCCTTCGCGCTTCTCCCCCACTCCTTCTCGTCTGGATCTTGGTCCCGCTTTGTACTACTCTCCGCGGTCTTCCCCCCGGGATATTCGAGTTGTAAGGTGACATCGTGTAAGGAGGCTGCTCCCCGCACACTGTGATCTGATTGGCTGCGAAGGAACTCGCAGGGATCGATATGGCTTTCCCCTGGCGATTAATCCAAACTCTCTCTCCCTTCACCCCCTCCTATCTCCACCCCACTCTTCCCCATCTTCTATTCCCCTCTTCACAACTATAAAACCCGCAAGCGCGTTCGAAAGGCTCTCTCTCTACCCATTTGCCAGCTTCTGGGATGTTATGACTAGGTGATGTGCAAGTAGCAAGTCGGAAAGTCCTGACCAGCTGACTGCAGTGTATGCAAGGTTGTGCTCCATGTGGCCGCGACGGACTGCGGGATCTGGGCAAGTTGGTGCAAAAGTTGAGTTGGCGGGTGACGATCGCTGTGGTATGGAGGTTGGTACGTGGCGGTCGGGATCGTCAGAACCTGAGTAAGAACGGTGTGTGCGTAAGAGTGGTTGCATGGCCAGGGGCCAAGCAATCTCATCGGTTTTCTTTTCCTTTCTTTTTGTTGATGTGTCTCCTGATGATTCTTGTATGTGAGATTTGTGGCATACATGCATCAATTGGGCTAACTAAGCTAAAATTTCGTTAAGATAAGGTGAATGCATGCTCACCACTCGTTCAAAGAATGATGATTATTGTCTTGATTGGATAAAACTCACATTCTTTTGGATCAGTTTGTCAGATGGATGAAAGGCAACGGAGCACATAGCGTTATGACTGTTTACTTTGTGATTGAAAAACAGATTAGGTAGACTCACGCGCTCAACCTTTGCTTAATGCCATGTGGATCGACTGCTCCAATCCGACTGGGCGTCGACTTCCCGTATCCTCATCGTGACCATTCTCGTATAATGAGGAAAGGACATGTGTATGTGAGCGGGACGTATGGGAAGCCATCGCCAAGATCGGCGGACACTATTATTTTGCACTCGAGACAAGGTGTCCGGGCTTCGTGGGTGCTGGTTTTGTCATCATCGATACCCACTTTCCCCCGTACTCTTTATTATTGCCTTTTAACGAACTGATTGCCATCCCATTGTCGGCGTGAATACCCTTACAAGGGTATTGACGAATGAATTTGCACATTGCACAAGTTTCACCTGAGATGGTATATGAGGTAGGAATTTGCATAAGTATTGTGCAACCCTCAGTCGGCTCCCTGTAGCCGGACAAGGGCCACGCGCAGGGTAAGATTAGTGGGTGTGTGGACACGCAAGTTTCAGGTGCGGGTGATCTCTATTGTGTATTGACAGTTAGAATAAATTTTTATTTTAATTTCAATCGTATGTAGGAACGGGCCGTGGGAAGTACCAAGCCCCCGAACGATAAGGGCATTAGCCTTGGTGGTTGGCAGTGTGACCGATAGGTCCAAATGTGGCCTTGGCGCACTTCAGTGGGGTCGTGCCGCAAACTGAACCGTTAAGAAGGTTCTTCGGTAGTACTAGCACCAGCCTTCGGTATAGCTCTATCGGTTACGGTGCCAGATTTCCATGCAGCTGATTCAAGGATCGAGACCTGTGACCGGCGACGAAAAAGCAACACAACATCTTGAAGGGAACTAAGGGGTTGAGGTCCCGACGGGGCTATGCCCCTCGATTTTGTTGCGGGCTGCAGAAGCGGGCCCAATTAGTGGGACTAAGGGATGTCGATGGTCCCTCTCTCCCCTAGCGCCATCTTCTCTTTTAATATTTCTATTATTATTAGTTTAGTTACAATTGTTTTATTTATTTATTTGAATAATTTATTTATACTCCATTTCTTTTAATGTCAGTCCCGGTGCTGGTACCGGGCCCGATCCTAGAACCAATGGGCTTAGCTCAGTTGGTACATCCCCTGAATTTGTGAAAAGCAGTCTCAAGTTCGAATTCAGATATTTTTTGATGGAGAGGGTAAAGATCATTCAGAATAGTCATCGCCCTCTTCAGGTTGGACGTGGGGTGTCAGCCTGTGTGGTTGGGGTGTTGGTGAAACTTCTCTATCTAGCCGTTTTGAAGTGCGGGCCGAGGATGCCAACGTACAAGCAGCTGGTAGGGGCTTAGCCCACGGGGCGGTAAAAACCTAAGTGGCAGGACTTTCTATAGGTGAGCTTTTCCACCAGCCACACCCTGCTGTCGGGAGTTTGTATGTGAG